CGTCGATCTCTTCCCGAGACACACGCGTCCGTCCTTTCTCAAACATTTCAGGATAAGTGCATTGACGTTGTCAATCAGTACGTCTGCACTCAATGTGCAGAATGACCCGGTGGACCGGGTGACCCCAATGGGTTCGTTTGGTACTTACGTGCCTGGCCTGGTGTAGGTGCACTGCAACTGAGTGCGAATTAGTACGAATGCACCGTGTTTTGCACTTAATATGCACTCGTCGCTGCACCCGTCCCGAAATCTGATGGACTTCCGAATTCGCGATACATCGAGCCGAAAATTGCCCGTTTCTATACTGATATAATTTAATTTTAATCTTGGTTTAACTAACTCGTCATCTTTTTTTAGTTTTAAGAATTAAAAAAAGGATGAAAAGTAAATAAACCGAGATTAAAGTTATCTACATTGATAGATACAGATAAAAGATAATATATAAAGAGACGCATATAGCGCATTTGGTTATTTGCATTATACTAGAATAGTGCATATTAAAAGGTGCTATACATGAAAATAGCAAAGTAAATGCAAATACAAATATTTTTGTGGAAGGCTTAAAATATTTAATTATCGTATTATCAAACACAGAATATACATATATATTTCAATTATTAATTATTTCATTGATTTTCAAAATTGACATTCAAAATTGTATTATCACAAAGTTGATTATATTATTATGCGTTTAGATTATACTTTATATGAAGCAGTCTTCAACGTCTATTAATTCAGTGTACTGTGAATGATCGAATTCATGCGAGATATAAAAAAAATCAACATTGCAAAACAAAAAAAACGATGATGTTATAATTAGCTGCATCGTGATTGCTTAAAGTAGGACTATCAACCGGAAATCTCAACTATGAAAATGCAACCAATCAAAGTTTTTTCTTTCAGCATGATATGCTTTATGCAAAAGTTTGTACTCTGATCTTAAATTCCACAATGAATTATTACACTTTGTGTTAAAGAAGTATACAGCACACATTAATATTTATAGTTAACTAAATTGTATATTTATGAAAGTTGTAATTGTAATATTCCATTTTTATTAAACAACACATTTTTATTTATTTTTTTGTTACTATTTTTATTATTAACTAAAATGTGAAAAATAACAAGAGTCTAAATATTTTTATATAATATATTATATAATATTTTTTGTATAATATATTGTATAATATTTTTGTGTGTTACAAAGATTTAGAACAAATATTTTATTTATTTACAAGATAACTAATTTCGGGATTGCAATGTAACTTTATGTAAATCATTTTGAATACTTAAAGTACTTATTGAAAAAAATGGAGATTTTTGTTGTCGTTATTTTATAATATATTTTTATTAGAGCACAGAGATAAAAAAAATACTACTTATTGAAATAATTTTTGATCCAGATTGATGTAAATCTCCACTAAAAATTTTTGTATTACTTTCAAATACGATCTAGAATAATCTGTAAATTTTTCATAATAATTATTTTGAAATATCGATTGTACCTCCCTAAACAAAGATGAAACGAGCTCATTGTATCTGCTGGAAAGCATCATTTAATGTTAAGACTTTGACCGCATTCCATTATCAACTTGTTTAAAAAATGCCTGTAATATTTCATGAACACATAAATAAAATTATTAATCGTTTGTTGACACGTCAATACATGAGAATTAGATGATTATTTTATTAGTTGCAGTTTGATCGAAGTCACTCGCAATTATGGAGTCAGTAGGACAAAATCATCTCGTTGCTTTATCGAGGCATAAAGATCGAGGCATCAGATTCCCTATCCAAATCAAGAATTTCGTGATTTTATCATTTAAGAAATTGAGAATCTATGCAAAGATCTTGAGAACAATCAATGCAATCACACTTTTGCTTCTCCTTATGCCTTTCGTCTATATATATTTTTTATTAATTTATTTTTATTCTACACGCTTTATGAAGAAATTCGAAAAAAAATTAATCAAAACAATCTTGAAATAAATCAAACCTGTATAAAAACTGACTATAAATGAAATTATAATATATCTGAAATGAATGAGATTAACATATTATCAAGAAGAATAAATCCCAAAAATACTGTCCCAATAAAGAAAAACGCTAAAACTTTAAACTGTATAATTGGCGCGTCATGTTTTTGTGCATTTGCATGTCTGATATTTTCGATTTGATTTGATAACATAAATTATAAATTTTGTGAAAACTTATGTAAAGTCTGATATGTATAAAAAAATAAAATATAAAAAATCAGAATATTTAAACACGATATTTTTAACCTTGTTCAATGTGCTTTTTGTTTTCTTGTTTTTTACCTTTTGCTTTTTTTCTCTTTACTTTTGTTCCATTATCGCGCGTGCGTTATTGATTGACAAATATTTCCATTATATTCCACCATTTAGTTTTTGTAATTTATTTTGTATTTATTTGTTATATAATTACGCGTTCCCAATAAGACTCATTAGCATATGCAGACTACAGTGTAAATGAATGATTCATTATCGTTAATTAACTGTGTATTACTTCGTAAATCTTTGATTGTTAAAACAGATAAGAAGGAAATGAATCGAAAAAAATAATATTTATAAACTCGATTTTAGCGAACATTTATGACTGAATTAACCATAATCAACAATGGAAGAAGTTATTTCGATATGACTCGATAATTTTCTATTGCAACGCATACGATTTATAATATAAATATTTATGATATATAATGTGAATGATGATATAAATTTTAATTTAAAAGTTTTATTGTAAGTAACTGATTTTCTTTTAGATTGCGTTTTTAATGAGAAGAAAACGACCAACAAAAGAAGATGTCAAAAAAACTATGTTGGGTATCCTTCAATCCACAGCATTTCTTTCATGGAGTGCTTTCTCCTATTCAATGTGGATTTGTTTATTAAGGTATGGAATAATAAATATATGACTATTTAATGAAGTCAGACTTTCTGGCGAAACTTAATTACAAAATTTCATTTATCATCTTTTTTAAAATACATATTTATCAAAACATTAATAAGTTTAAATATGTGAGTACTAGAAGACACAATTAATAATTATAATTGTGTTTCAGGCAAGCACTTGGACGTTTTTATATACCGACTGTATCTTTTCTTCCGTCCTTCTTATCTAGCCTGTCTGCCATTGTGATAGAAAGAGCCTCTAGGCGTACATTATTGTGTCTCTACGTGTCAAATGTTGTAAGTAGAGATCGTAATAATCACATTAATAATATGTTATCATTATCGTTTCCTTTTAGGCAACAGAAACTTTGTTCAAGATGGGTTTGTGGCGAAAATACTACTCACCTATTTCGAGAGGAGAGGTCTATATATTTGCCGTAAGCGTAGCTGTATTACTGTATTTCTTTCGTTCAAAGACGAACAAACAGGATCAAGTATATAAAATATTTAGGTATATCTGAATGTGTATACCTGATGCATATATTGTACATATCTGTGTATCATATGCATAATGTGATTTTCAAAAAAAACAGGATGATTATTGGACGGTATGAAGAGACTGAATATCTTAAAAAGAAAGATTCACATCCGGAAACATCTTCGAGAAACATTGCGACTGACAGCGCAAAGAATGACAGAAGTATACATAGGAACTCTGCAAGACATAAATTCAATATTCTATGGAAGTCCTTTGAGGCATATAAATATATTATTAATAGCTTAAAGGCACAAAGTAAGGATGCTTCGTGTCCGCATCCTTATAGCTGCGCACATTATATTTTAGCGGTATATATATATAATAGCAATATATAAAGATTCTAGAAAAATATTTTATATTTTTCGTAATATAACTTCCTTTTCTATTTAAAGGATAGTGCAAAGATTTTCAGTTATGGTGTTTGCGGACAAATAGCGCTTAAACTAATCTTGCAATTCAAAAGATTACTTCAGAAGCCAAAATTACTAAAAACCACCATCTTTCAAAGAGATAATTTAAATCTAGCTATATTTCTTGGAGGATTTGTCGGCCTTTATAAAGTATATCATCTTACTCTGCATATTTAACGCAAATTATAGAATATCGAATATTTTTCGCAAGAAATTGTTTCCACTAACCTTTTCTTTTTTCTCTCTCTTTATATATAGCTAATATCTTATTGCAAGCGTAACATTTATGGCATATCCCAATACTACTATAGCTTTATATATCATGTGGAAGACACTACAGGTATTATTATTATGTATTTATATTATTATGTATTTCTATTAATATATTCGTTACTAATGTAGTAAATTATAATGTAACATCGCTGGCTTTGTTTCAGTTATTATGGAACGATGCAGTGGAAAATGAAAAAGTACCTGAAATAAAATGGTTTGCAAGTTTATTGTATTGCTTTAGCACGGCAGTTCTCTTCCATGCAGCTATAGTGGAACCACAAAACTTAAGATCATCCTATTGGAGATTCCTTTACACTGTGTCCGGTGGAAGGTAAACATTATGCGAAGCACAAAATAAAAGATTATTATACTTTATCCCAGATTCATTCTATTATTCTTACTTTGTACGTATATTGATTTCAGAATAGCAGTAATGTCCCGGTTACCTATGAATGTATTTGGTTTAGAAACACACAAAAATTTGCAAGAAGTGCTCAGAAAAACGAAAACTACAGATCAACTTACCTTTTCGTTCTAAAATATCGAGTATAAGTATCAAGCGTGACAATACGTACCTTAGTATCTTTCCTCGGAAGTGTAATTCTCTAGAACCAAAGAAATGTACATCACATATATGTTTTAAATTGTATAAATTAAATTCTTTGCGAGATAAACAAGTGAAACAACAAAATGTATTTTAGCGTAGCGATTTGAACGTTAACGTTTCTACTTTGTTTCTTCAACCTAATTCGAAGCGATGGTGCTTGAATATGTTGTGATACTAAACGAACTTAATACTTTTATACATAGATATAATTTATATATAACTTAATATATTTGATTGTTATGGTGTGATAATTATACACATACATGTCAGGGAAATAGATAAATATTATTTAAATATATGGACATGATTATTAATTTGCAACTAGGACATATCTGCAAGTATATTTAATTGCAAGATACTTCCATACTTTTTTCCCTGCGATGTATACATTATAGATTATTTTTTTCTATGTTTAATACAAACTTTATATTTAATGCTGATATAATATAAATACGTTCCATACGATCAGCTTTGTTGTATACTTTATTATGAATATAACTTATTTATTGGAGCAATATGTAATAGATATTAATGCGTATTTTATTATGTCCGATTTATACTATATTATTATATAACATTATTTCTGGTTTTTAACAATCTCTAATGCTCTGTTCATTACATCTACGACATGTTTGTTACGTTTCTTCTCTATTCTCCTCTTTTTTCGCAGTACGTCGTCCCATTTAATACAACTTTGCATTTTTAAATTCTTACGATTTATGATACCAGCGACTATTTGAGAATCTAGAACTGAAACAGAGTGTTTCGATGGATTCTCTCTTAGTTCAAGTGGTTCCAAACTCTTCAATGAGTCTACCTGCCACGGTAGTAATCCAATGGAACATCCGTTCCATTGATAATTATCTAAAAATCAGATAAAAAAGAATATTATGAATGTGATATTATTGATCATTCAAATTATTATATACATCTTGAAAATCTCATTTGTAAATGCGTACCATGTGCTAATTTCCAATGTGAATTACGGATTATTTGGTCTGCCAACAAGTAAGTAGGTTTCTCTCTATTTGCACAATTTATTTTGTGTGTATGCACTTTATTTTCTATTAGACTTGGATCGAAGTCTTCAACAGTAAATATTTTATCAACATCATTGTTGCTGTCCTCATTGTCATGCTTTTGACTTGTATAAATTTGGAGTAAATTTAGCAAATGTTTTTGTGTTTGTGCATCTATTCTTGATGTAAGCAACTTTAAAATTGGTTCTACCAGTCTTTCAGAGAATTCATTTATATTTAGTAAAAGTTTTGATAAAAAATTTATATCAAGAAGAAAGTGCGGTATGATGCTTGATATGTCTAACCATAGAATGTTCCGCAAGTATGGATGTTCAGAGTGTACGCGTTCTTTGAGATGTTGACTTAAAGTTTTTGTGTCCAGTTTTCTATTCGCTTTCTGTAATTCATACTCCATGGTATGAGAAATACTTTGGACGATGTCTAATTGAACAAAACTATAAAAGATGGAACTTATCCACAAAGCAGCAAGATTTCTTCTTTCTTTATCTTCACGTTCTTGATTTACGATATTAAACAACTTAAAAAGTAGCGTCTCTAATATTTCTTTTTCATGTAACAAGAAAATAACATCTTTCCAAAATCGAAGCATCTTGAACGGCAAAATTCTTCTTTTCAAATTGATATTCTTTTTTTCTTTTTGTCGAAAAATTCTCATGATATCTAAATTTGGTAGAAAAACTTTATTTTTGCATAATGCATTGCAAATTGTATTGCTCTTCTCATACATTGTACTTGAGGATTCGTTTAAATCCACAGATATCTTAGCTAAAAGTAGAGTTTTTGCAGTTTGCAAATAGTATTTTTTATCAATTTTTACAGTTCTCTTGTAAACGGATATATATTCGTTCTCGTCATTATCCGAAGTTTTACTTCTATACTCAGACAACATGTATGTGCGTAAATCTTGCAATATTTCCCTGTAAAAAGTAAAATTAATTATATATATATATTAAGGATTTATTGATTAAATAAAAAATGCTGACAATTCATTCGATTTGTAATAAAAATATACCGTAATTGTGTCTCTGGTAAATCCGACACTAATTTATAATCAGCATTGACATATAAACTAACAGCTGTCCAAATTTCAATCATATTTGTAAAATTCTCTACTTCGGATTCCTCTTCCTCCTCTAAGACTTGCTTTCCTTCTTTCAAGTAACATTTTTCCATTGCATGTGCTTCGGGCGCCCAATACTCATCCTTTACAAAATATTTCAAAAGATTTTGTAATACTGAATACTTATTAAACCTATTCTATTACTACGTAAGTCTAGTTATAAGTGGTTGTAGTTGTAAGAATTGACCAATCGACAGTCAAACATTCTCATATTCAATTGTAACTAATCAATTCTTATAACTATAATCACTTACACCTATAATTACAGAATGGATTTTATACAATTGTGACAGAACATACATGTAACCAATGCAGCAATATATTAATTGCTATCCTCAATACTCCAATAGATGGCAATTCGTATCCATGGGCAGTCTCGTGTCTCAACTCGACTATCCACTCTGGAATTTTCAGTTGACTAGCAATCTTAAACATGGATGTTTGCTTTGTATGCCCTATATTGGAAAAATAGTTCAAGAATCTCATTATCGTAGTCGAGTACATTAAACTCAGATCGTTCTCGCAATACATTGGTAGCTCGCCACTGTCAATCTTGGATGTCCATTCGCGATCGCGGAGACACACTTGCAAAATTGATAGAGTACAATCCACACCCGCTGGTAGTTTCGGCATCCTGAGAATAACAATAATCTCTAAAATCCATCTCGATATCCAGTTGAATAATGAAACATTGCATCACCTGGCTTTCCATGCTAAGAGCGCCTCGTAAGCCTTTGTTTGCTCGATCGGATTGTTGGAATAAATTTGTCTGTACACGTCGTGCCATTCTGCCCTGATCAACAAATAGATTATCTGTCGACATTCATTCATCTCTTAAACGTTAAAATTTCGTTTGTCAATCGATACTTACAGAGATAACCATGGTACCTGCTTTATACCGTCGTATTTCCCGGACAACGCTATGTTCACCGATGTAGGATACATACCGATTTAAGTGACAGTTGTTATACCACGTGCTTTTACACGTGTTTACCTCGAGTAAAATCGAAGGTCCGGACCAGTCCAATTACTCCAATCACAATAAAAAGCCAGCGACACACGATGCTGTTTTTCTGCTACAGTTGTTCCAAATTTACTGCCAGTGCTAGATTGTTAGCTAGAGTAGAATCTTGCTACAGTATTGACTGTGATGCTGTGGTAGCCATGGTGGAATCAGATACAATAATTCCAATTCCATTATGGTAATGGTGGCAGCATCGCAACCAATCCAACTAGCGATCCAGCGAGAAAAAAGCATCGTGTACCATCGGTTTCCTTTGATCTAAACGATCGCCATATTGTTGATTGTACGCGGGTTATAATTTGATTGACAACAATAAGCTTGTTTCTTTTAGCTGAATTTCTTGCACGGTTCATCTTTTCTCTTCTTTTCTTCAATGTGGAGAAAAAAAGAAGAAAGATGAACCATGCAAAAACTTTAGCTAAAAAGAATAGATCTTATGTCTAATTATGAATCTATCTCACTTTAGGTGCAGAAATTATAAAATAGTGTACAAAGAACAGACACTTGATAATTGTTAATAAGTGCACCATAAATACATTTGTTGCTAATATATCTTGATAATAGCTCATAGTATATCTACGAAATTATATATACATATTTTATTAAATTATAATGTAATAAGAATAACAATGGCAAGGCAAATCACGACGGTGTTGATAGATCTCAGCGGGACATTGCACATCGATAATACGGTTATTCCAGGTGCCGTACAAGCATTAAACAGGTTAGATTAAATTTTCAGTATATGTACTTACAAACCGGCCACAGTGTAATCTCTGTGGAAATGGCGCGATTCAATTTTAAGTATCCCAAATAAAATCTATAAGTTTAAATTTCATTTAATTTACATAAAATGTATTATTGATTAGATTGATTTAATAATAAAAAATCTATTTTTTTTTGTTTATAGACGTTTTCTTTTAAGATTAATTTAATGTCTATTTTACTTGACAAATGTCTTGAAGATATTGAACATCAGAGCGTGAATGAAGATTTTTTTATAAATTACTAAAATTAATCAAACGATAAAATCTTATGATTTATTTTTAGTATCAAATCTTTTTATTCTTTAGACTTTAGAGAATGATGAATTTATATTTTCATGTTTCAGGCTACGAAATGCAAACTTGTCAATTAAATTTGTCACCAACACTACCAAGGAGTCAAATAATTATTTGTATGAACGTCTGATAAAACTTGGATTCGATTTACAGAAAGAAGAGATTTTCAGTTCTTTAGCAGCAGCGAGAAAATTAATTATCTCTCAACGATTGAAACCGATGTTGTTAATTGATCCAGCAGCAATGGAAGATTTTCAAGATTTAGTAACAGATGATACATTTAATGCAGTTGTGATTGGTTTAGCACCAAGCAAATTCAACTATGAAGAACTGAACAAAGCATTCAGGTAATTTTGCATCTTTTTTCTTTTCTGTATCCTATAAATGAGTATATTTTAACGTGGTATTTTAGATTGCTTTTGGATGGCGCTTCCCTCATAGCCATTCACGAAGGACGATATTACAAGCGTCCCGATGGGCTAGCTCTAGGTCCTGGGCCGTTCATCAAAGGATTGGAGTATGCTAGCAATGTGAAAGCAAAAGTTGTTGGTAAACCGACCATAGGATTTTTTAAGGCAGCTTTAGAAGAAACGGATCCAGCGCAGGCTGTAATGATTGGAGATGTAATATTTTGAATTATGTCATCTTTCCTTTTTTGTATATTATAATCTTTTTACACATTCACAAATATGAATCTTTTTATAATTAGGATGTGAGGGATGACGTAGCTGGTGCACAGGCAGCTGGGATCAGAGGTATTCTGGTACAAACTGGTAAATATAGAACAGGAGATGAGAATACAATTACTCCAGAACCAGCAAGAGTATGCGCTTCTTTTGTAGAAGCTGTCGACAGTATTCTCAGTGAAAGTATTTAAAGATTTGTGGTTTGACAAAATAAGTGCATGAATAGCAATAGAATTCTTTATTCAAGTATCGCTGCGCGATGCAATCTCTTTTCTATATTAAATTATATTTTATTAAATACTGATTATTTTATAGTGTACATAGTCTGATGCCATATTATTATAAAACAGACGCAATAAATACAAATAGAAATTAATATCAATTCTTTTCTGATATGGAGCTTTATGTCATTTTGCCTATTAATGTAAGTATCGATAGAGAATAGTAATGTATTACAAAGATAATCAGATAAATATGAAAGTATTCAAGGATAGAAATATCGTCTCGTTGTACATTTGTAGAAAATTGTAGAAAATTTGTCTTGATCAGTTTGACATTGAAAAGTTTGATAATTTACACGTCGGGACAGTAAAATGTAGTATTTTACAAAGCAATCTGCACACAAGCATTCGATCTTTTGCAGAGACGATATTAGTCCATAATCTTAATAGTTCTAAAAATTATAAATTTAATCTTTCGCTACGTAGCCTTATGTCATAAGTAGTAGAACCTGCATCTAAAACAGGTTTACAAAAAGAAAATGCTGTTTATTAAAAATGTACGGTGCTTTGCGAGTATCGTTTTCCATATAAAATTTGGCACCCAAATTTGTTCTTTAAATCTCGTTTCTTTTTACATAGATTGAAGAAAGATGAAATCGATATTTTGATTTTTACATTATTAACGTTTCTCAAATTAATACTTCGTTTTTCTGTGCAAAAATAACATGTCTGTAAATAAAATGACTAAATTTATTACCTTTTACGAAATGAAATTATATGCTGCCTGCTAGAATATATATAATAAAAACAGATAAAAATTCATAATAATATAGTAGCTTTTATAATTTATTATTGATAATGTAAAAGAGAAATGTTAATATAATTATGTATCTTGTAACTGTATGGGCCTGTTTTAAATGTCAATATAAGCCATGATTAAAATGCCCTCTGTAACTTATGATCTATGATCAGGCACATCTCGATTGCTCGCATTATGGTAACAAATGTCTAAAATAAGTGCTTTAAAAAAATAAAGAATGATTACTCTTGATTCATGCGAGAAATCTGTATAGAGAATAGTATAATATATACATTTTCAGAGAACTATGCAATGAACTGAACAATTAATTGATTCTAGATAATTGTTATGTAAATAAAACCATATTAGTTGTAATATCGTTGTAATAAATTGAAATAATTTCAGATCGAAGATAAAATAATTTTCATTAGTTGTCATACATCATGTCGAGATATTAAAAAGATAACTATATTTTTGCATTATGATCTAATTTATATTTAGATTCAAAAATGTTATATATATATAACATTATATATATATTATATATATTATTATATATATATATATATTTTAAGATTTAATAACAATTAAAAAAATATAAGTTCACTGCACAATTTCTTTTGAAACAACTCGTGTAAAGATAACAAATAAGGCATTCTTAACTAGGATGATACAATTTTTGCCAACCATTCATTTCACTCAGTCAAGAAATGTTCTCTTTCTTTCTCATAGTATCTTGACAATACATATTTCGATCGAGAAAGCAAGCAATAGCAAATAATTCTTAATGTATATAAAGCATTTAATATTACCAAACCAAGGTAAACCTAAGCTTGATAATAGATAAAATTGCAACGTATATTATCCAGTTAAAATGACAAAATATTATTTACAATTATAAAAAGATTGCTCTCATGTACATACATTTTAATAACGTAAACAATATTGTATCTCACGGAGCACATTAAAAACTAGTATAGTTTCTCTCTTGACAATTTAAATCTTTGCAGTAATAGCAAATATCATTGGCTCTGAGTTGCACAATAAGATCTGTTAAATTTTTATCCATACGGCATACTATATTATTAATGGACATTATTCACAGTCGTGTTCGCATATATACAATTTATAATCTAGAAAAAATCGAATATTAACTTAAGAACAACTATATCATTTTTATTCATTATAAATCTTTTTAAAGATCAAATTCTGTTAAATACTGCATATCCTTCGACATTATAATTATATTCTCAATGGTATTTATATAGAACCTTATAAAATTTAATTTTTGGTGTTAAATATACATAACAAATACATTCTCTTATTTCCCATGAGCAATAGGAAATATTGAACTTCTATATATAATTTGGCTATTCAAATATAATTTGATTAATGGTAAATTGACATATTTTTCTTCTCTCTCTCATATATATTTATATATATATATATTTCTTTTTTTCGCTCTCTAATATAACAAGGCAGGTGTGGAATACACATTTTGCATGCATGCATATAACAAAACGTATAATTTCTTATACCCTCAATAAATATTCAATACTTTTATTATAATACTAAAAGAAGACGATTCTATGTACTGATTACGAAATACACAGCTAAAATAGAATTAATAGAGGAAATTGTTTTGAGAAGCATTTGTGAGGGGATCACCTGGATCCATTAGACCTAACGAAACAACAATTTTCTCGGCCATACGGTCTATCCCCTTTTTCTGTAGTTGTGCTGTTTTTTTTTTGTAATTGTGTCATGCGGTTTTAATGATATCTTTAAAGTGGGAAGACGATATATGGCTGACAACAAGACTTTAAACTCTACATCCAGGTACAAAAGCATGATATTCTCAAGCAGATTAATCGAGAGTAATGTTCTGTTGTGTGAATTTGGCCGCAGGATGCAAGTGTATAAAAGTGAGCAATTTATATTAATACTTCCACACATTATTGCCTTAAAATTTTACATTATGTCCTAATACTCCAAATACGCCTCGCTTTCTTTCGCTCCTGCCTCAACATCACACGAAACGTTCGTCAAATCCAGGTGATCATTTCCTAAGAAGGTGGCACAAGGTACCATATTCTGCAAGTAGCCTATGTATTTTCCACTATTCTGAAATGGGTTCAATCTTGAATATTTTTTGAATAAATGAAAAAAAAAGTTAAAATATGTGTACAGCATACTTTACCATGGTATAAAACCAGGCACACTGTAAAGGTTCATGATGTAATGTTAATCCTAACTATTTAACAGGACGATAATGAAGTGTTAAATCCGCCGAACTTTTCCAAATGAAATGTCTAACCTGGGAAACAGAGAAACATGAAAAAAACACTCTCAATGATTACAAAAAGTTTACTCAAGATAATACATACTGTTCTCAAATCCATTGAAGGATCCAAGACTTGATCGTTACATAGGAGTTCGACTTTTTCTTCAGCCAATGAAGAATTATCAGCATTAGAGTCCGTATTCGTCCTATCGCCTGCCGGAGATCCGCTGGAAACTGTATTTCCACCGCCAGCCACTGAACCTGAATCGCTTCCTGCACCGAGTACTTTATCGTAAACATGTTCGGCCACTTTACGTACTTGTATAAAATCATTGGCTATTAAACGATCCCTTAAAGATAACATAGAAAATTATTTATTTGTCATTGTACGATTTGGAGAGTTAAAGTTAAATTAAAATGCATACTTTTTCAAACTTTTTACACCTGAAGAAGCGTGTGGAAGAAGATAAAAAGGTATTTTAATAAACTGAGGAAGATTCTTGTCCACGACAATATTCACTACCCATGGTGGTACAGTTTCGTTTAATAGGACACCCTCAGTTTCTCCTGCAGCATCTCGAACCAATAGTCGGTAGATAGTTCTACCTCCCACTTCACTGAAAAGCAGCATTATATAGTATTATAATTTAGTTAACGAAACATTGCTTCCTGTACAACATTCTTTGCATACCTAAAGATGACAGGTGTATGACTAGGAACTGAGAAATATGGATTTCCTCCTCTCGTGTGTTGTAAAGGACCATTTCCATCATTGCCATTACCCTCATTCTCGTCATCAGCATGTAATGGTCTCCACCAGTGTTCGAGTAATGCTTGCAGCAAAAGGTTTCCATAATTTACTAAAAATAGAAGAAAATATTAAATTTCCCGAATCATGTCGTAAATATTACTAATGAAACAACTAATCACCTTTCTGATCTACAGCATCGTTCTCTGCTAGACCTGTTTCTTTGGCGGAAACCCATGCAGAGAAGCAATCATTTTCGTCTTGTCCTAAATGTATAGTTAACATCTGGAATGATAAAAAAAATTTAGAACTGATTTAGTCTTTGGAAACATTGATTTATCAAACAAAACCCGTTTTGAGACATACCCCTGTTTTGAGATCGACGTTAAACCAGTTTGGAACATATACCATTTTGTTTCTCTTTTTACATTCTTGCTCGAAATCAACTCTGCCTAAATCTTCTATTTTACATGCCTTTAATACATCATATAGTGCAACATTCTCTTCTGTATCCTTTGTCAAAACATGTCTTTTATCATTTAATATATGATAATGTCTTATGGCAGGACCACCCAATATTTTCTGTGTAGGTTCGGTATTTCTTAAAATATTGCCCGCTACATTACTCGCGGAATCACAATAATCTCCTATTCCTAATTCTTGCCAATCTTTTTGGCTTATTGGCTGAAATAACAAAAAATATTCTTTATAATTTGTTTTTTTTTCATGCAAATTCGTTAAATTATGAAACTTTGTTTACCCAATTATTTATAGTTGATTCGCTGGTGGCTACCCAAATACTAGATTGATCTGGTGTCATAGCCATTTTGAGTATAGGTGCCTTTTCTTCGCAAATGACTGTATATCTCTCTGCATAGCTTAATTCTGTCATTACTACTCTCTTATCCCTGCCTCCAGATATTACATGGCTAAAATTATCCGTTGCCTAAAAGAATCAGATTTAACATAATAATCTGTATAATAATTATTAACATAATGAACTTGCATAATTATATGTATAATTACCAATAACGCCCATACTCCTTCTTTATGAACTCTAAATGTTTGCACACATCTCTGTTGGCCAAGCGACCACAATTTAATAGTACCATCGGAACTCGCTGATAAACACTGTGTACCGTCCCTGTTTAAGACTAAGGCTTTAATATTATCCGTGTGACCACGAAGTTTCATGAGTTTGGTACAAAATCGTGGATCCCACACTCGAAGAACTTTCTCCGTGCTACCACTCACGATAACTGTGCCAATCTGATTCATGGCAAGACTGTATATAGAGTCTCTATTTCCACTCAGGGATGAAGCTGATAAGGTACACATATGTTTTAAGGATATTTAATTACATATAAAAGACATATATGTATAACGGTCAAGATGCATGAATTACATACTTGTGACTGTATTATTACTCGCAGTAAGAGCAGTTAATGTATTAACATCCCATAGAAATATTGACTTGTCTAGACCCGCGCTAGCAACTTGCTCTCTATCTTTGGCATATGCTAATGCTTTAACGTAATCCTTGTGCGTGCGCAAGGTGGACATACAGAAACCTTTATGTGCATTCCATACCTTGACAGTAGTGTCAGAACTTGCAGATATAACTACACATAATTAATAAGATGATTATCATATCGAGATAGATACAGTAGAAATTGGAAATCAAAGAAAGATATGTTATATTTAATATAGATGATACATTTATTCTTGAAATATCATAAAAATTAAGTCAAATAAAAATATTGTATGAGTGTGCACTTACGATTTTTGCCACTACAACATAGCACTATATCATTAACCCAATCAGTATGATGTTCCATAGATTGGATATATGGTTCCTTCATATTTCTACAATTCCATATCCTTATGATACTGTCTCTACCAGCGGAATATAGCCTATGCAGAGCTGGATCATACTGTAAGGAATTAACACCAGCCCTATGCTGCTTCTCTACTTCGTCTCTTATAACCATAGATACCTTTATATGAAAAATGATTTAAAATTAATATAGTCCTTCTCATTACATTGACAACTTGTGAAAACTCAATGAAAGTCATCATTATTAATTTTCATGGATGCTTTTCATTTAGCATCATTCTATCTTTCTTGATATTCAGTGACAAAAATGAAATGACACTTGTATCGACTTGTCTCCAAATGGAAAGCATCCAATCAAATGTAATATACCTCACAATTCTGATATATTATTGAATTTAATTTTCTCTCTCTCCCAAGAGAGAGAAAAACTCAATGCGAAACTTTATTAATTAAACTTTATTAATTAGTACCAAAGAATCAAAACTTTTCTAGCATTTATAAGCATGATTCTTAGCATAGAAAACAATTATCTTATTGTACAATGTATTATTATATGACTATATAAGACAGTTTCGTGAGACATCAGTCAAGAGAATCGACAAATTCCTCGTGAATCTGTCGATACTTATCAGTAAATTATACCTGAACTTTCTTACGGGCGGTCTGCCCGCCCGTCTTGTGAGCTGCCATTGCGCCCGGGACCGTTTCGTCCGGCGTCTCGGCGTCGACGTCCCGATCGCGCTGAAGGGAGAAGGAAAACACGCAGAAGTTTGGACGTGAAAGCGATGTGAACAGCGTATGTTGCACGATTTAAGCTGCGACAGCAGTTCCACGTTGCACACGACCGTTACTCCGCACTCGCGGCGTTATCGACATCATCATCGTCGTTACTGTTGTTCGTATCGCCGATTTCACCGTCGAATGTCGCATGGCATCATCATCGTACTCATTGCATTATTCGTTGACGATACAACGTGCGAGACAAGCGACAGACCTAATAATATATACATAGCAGTACATGACCGAGAAGAAATGACCGCCGCGATTTCTTCAGATGACACTTACAAGCGTGAAACCTCGTTCATGACGGCCGTGCGCACACCACGCTCGTAGTGATGCTGCTATTCCACTGTCTACTGCTGTTCCGTACCGTGTGATTCCGTGCCACCGGCGTCAATATGCCTCGGTATGTATGTATGTACGCACGTAGCATTACATCACGAGTGATCGCACCGTTCAAATCAGCTCATTCGTTGCGTCTTGTTGACGACGCTCAAAAATACGTGATTCGGTCAGGTTAGTGAATCGGCCAATCGTAGACGAAGATATTTGCAAAGACGCAGGTTGCTGTTTTGAAACTCTTGGCTACAATTGGTCGAATGGCTCGTGCTGAAAACGGAACAGAGTAAAATTTATTGAAGTTGACGTAGAAATATTCAGAAATATTCTATTTGAGAATATATTGAAAGGAATATTTCGAAATATTCTATTTAAAATGATTCCGACCAAAGTTCTTTATTCAATTAAATATTTGATAATAAAAAATTAACAATTTATTTCTATTATCAAAGTAAAAGAGTATTACGATTTCAGGTATTATTTGACAAGTTAATCAAAGGAACTTTCCAACAAGAGACACGCACAGATGATCCAATAGTAAAATCATTGTCCTTGTTGTTCGCTAATGTTAAACAAAGATGAAATGAATACTTCATAACAAGTTGTTTAATAGCTTGTTGAAAAACTCAAGAATATTTTGCTCATTAATTGTGAGATTCAAAGATGAAAGATTTTAAAGAAATATGTATCTTTTCTACGTATCTTCTACGTATCTTCTACGTATCTATAAACGCACAATTTTAATATTAATATGTAATATTTCAGGCATAAAATTTTAAAATATTAAAAATGTAACATTTTAATAATATTTCATTAAAAAATTATATAAGATCAAAATAATTCCTAAAATATTAATGGATGGTTATAGCTAAAATAATTTTCAATCTTTAAACGTAATCTTATACCGAACTGAAGTAATAGGCTTTCAATAAGTTCATTACCATAAAGTCTTAAGTCGTAAGAAATTGATCAATAGCGGCGTTTAGCAGAAAAAGCTTAGCAACTGTTGTAAAATTCTTTAATATGATTGGTCTTGCCCTTAGTTTCTCATTCTATCTAAATGTATAAACCAATTATATTTGAGAATTTTATAACAGTCGCAAAGCTGCTTTTTCTGCTGAACGCAGCCAATCATATTCGATTATTCTTCTTACATTCGACTGTGATTGATCAATTTCTTCTTAAATGGTTTTTTTGTAGAAAACAGTTTTATAAATTAAAGTAAATATTATTATACCTTTTAATGTTCATACAATATTGCAGTAACATTAAATATTATTATTTTTAATAATCATAATGTTATGAGGAATGAACATATATTGTATGTATATATAAAGATCATCCAATAACAACGAGCGCACTCGAATCCGCTCCCCAACAATAGAAGGCGGTTGTTCTACCTTTTAATATTGTAAAATTTTATCAGTGAGGTAAATCTGATAATCCGCGCATGTGATTGGGTAATCTCGCTATTTATTCAACAGGATAAGTAGCGACCATTGTGCTAACATAAAGCTCTCTGATTGGCTTATGACATCTTAAGGCTGTACTTAAGATAATCTTAAATATAAAAATCAATTATAAATACTAGCCTTAATTTTTATATCCACAAATTTAATCAAATATTTGTAATTTTATTTATTAACACCTGGTAAATTTGCTCATTTTGTAATTTTCACTTTATTTTAAAATACACAGTAATAGGTGCAGTACTACAAGCGCTCACTGAGCGCTCAGTGATGAGTCTTATATCTAATTGGTGTATATTTTTAGATCTAATGAAATATGCCAATCAGATGCAACTGAATACAGACTGAATACACCCATATGGTTGCGTTTAGCGAACTCAACAGTTGAGTGAGCACTCGCTGTTATTGGTGTATTCTTTTAGATCATCCAATTAGCATTTTAGATCTGAAAGAATACATCAATAATAACGAGCATTCATTCAACTGTTGAGTCCGCTAAACATAGCCAATGGCTGCATTCGAAAATTGTGCTATTGTGCAGCACTATTTGTATCACCTATCTTTGTTTTACGTTTAATAAACAATGAAGATGGAATGACACAAATAGTACTGATAGTGTTTCCGCGAGTGCACCCAATGTCAGCAATCGACTTCTCGATATCAGGCGCAAAGCGATTGGTCCATTCGGCGCGTCATTTCCTCGCGTCCGACAATCGTAATTGGCACATCAGTGTGAGCGCACCAATGAGCGCATCCGTTGCTAACGTTCTCGAAAAGCGATACGCGACTAACGTCCGGCCGCGATACGTCGGGATGAAGCATGGAGGTGTGTTAACGGTGTCTTCGTAAGTTGGAGTAGTTTCGCCATTTTCTCAGTGTCTAAACCCGCCATCGTTACGCCTATTGCCTATCGTTGTTGGGCGTCAACTACCGTCAACGGATCAACGGTGTTGGTGTTGCGATTACGAGCGCGAGCGCAACGCCTGGCACGGCGTCACTACGCCAGGCTGCTATGAATCAATCGCGCAATTTCACGTCGCTGCTAAATCCAAGCTATCTACAGAACGCTCAGCAGCAACAGCAACAGAATGCAACCTCGGCGGCGGCAGTGGCCGCGGCGGCTGCCGCGGCTGCGGTGAGTGCTGCGATCGCGAACGGCACCCAGACGAACATGAACACGCCGAGCACCGTAACGCAGAACCGCAAACGGGAAGCAGAAGGTGAGCATTTCTGCTCCACTTTCCTTTCTCTCAAATCTAATCTACAATATATGCTTTGCTATATTTTTGTCTTCTCCACTTCTTCCTTCTACGATCGTTTTATTTTCAATTATATTTCTTGTTATGTTTCTTGTAAAAATTATTCGAACTCTTACGCAGTGTGTCAACTTATTCGTGATATTGATAATTAATTTCGGACTACATAATGGTAGTTGTAAAGTTAAGGACTTATTCTGTAATTTGTAACGACTATAATGATATCGTTACATTGCCATTATACAGATTTTGTATATAATAAAAAAACTGTGCAACGACACAAACTGTAACAATATAGTCGTTAAGAATGATTGAATAGGCCCCTAATTTGAGAAACAACTTGACTTTAATAATTATATTGCAAATACTAACAGTTATGTGTACAATTACAATATAATTGAGTAGCTGAACATCTGGTCAAAAATATGTATTTCTGACAGCGACAAATGTTGAATCTAATAATGTGTGTATTATTGAAAAACAATATTAATAATCTTTCATCAACCTTTTTACGCAAAAACGCAACTTATCTGAATAATACAATCGTAAATTTATCCTCATCTGTGAGCTCGCTGGAGACTGTTGGAAAAAGGGAAGATTAGAGTAAATTTCGATAGAAATATTGCAAATTCGCTGTTCGCACATATCTATTTAGTTACGTGAATCAAAAGTCAAACTTAGCAAACTTGATACTACTTGATGGTAATTATTTCCAACAGTTTTTTTATTTTTTCCTAAATTTGTTGATTAATTTTTGGCGATAGAAAGAAAGAAAAAAGTAAAAAATAAAAAGTGATATCTAAAAAGCAAGAAACAGGATAAAAAATGATATCTAAAAAGCAAGAAACAAGAAGCAAAGATTAGATTGACTTTTCTCTCGCAGGAAGCAGAAAATGCCATAATGTTAATGAAGAACTTAATTCATGCAAATATGCAAGAAACATTATCTATTATTTTGATACTCGCAAAAAGGAAAGTAATATTAACCATAATTGATATATGTGGGTCTAATAAATCTAGACATTTTTTTAACTATATTATAAAAAATTGTTTATATAATAAATATTTCTCATAACTTTACATAATTTTAAGTTACATAATCTTATTTCTTGGATTTTAACCTTTAAAATGTGTGAAAAAAAATTAATTATATTAACTTTACTCAAAGATATATTAATTTAAAATATACTGGACCTATCAATATCAATTAAGGGAATTTCAAAATAAATACTGATCAGAATTAATTTATCATAATTACTATTCTTGTAAAAAACAAAAAATATTTCCATTTAATATATTTATATATGTATATATTTTGGTATATTTATAAATTCATGATTTAATGATGGGATTTTTGGCAGGCGATAGTAAACAGGATAAAGAATCTAAAGATGGAGAACGTAAGAAGAGGAAAAAGACTAGATGGAGTGGTAGCGATACCGACAAATCTGACTCCTGATCAGGAGAGGGCTTATCTCTGTAAGTTTCTCTCTCTTATACACATTTACGATATATATCTTCTTTAGTATGCTAATACGTATGGCTAGGGAACCATTTCAAATATTTTGCTTCTGTACATAAGTTTCTAAAACCTAATTTATAAGAGTAGATGGCTATGATGTAAGTATATATATCAATAATAATTCAAAATTCGTGGAGGTAAGCATCAGATTTCTTGAGAAATGTATAAAATCATCAAATTTGGCAAGAGGGATTGCCAATTTTGCTGAATAACTAAAATCTGACCGTCGATGCATTTTCAATATCATGAAATTCTATTAATTATATTACATATCATTTAGATACATAATAATATAGCAAAAATTGTATATCTTACAGTTTTTTCAAATAACTAGTATTGAATAAGTCATATAAAGCGTTACAAGCTTTTGACTTTGGAAATATTCAAGGTTCAAATATATGTGCAATACATTATTACTTTTCTGAGACATTATTTTATAGAATGTATACGGCTTATTTTATAGAATGTATACGGCAAATTGGCAATATCTAACTGTTGGGGTTTCCGCCCCCTCACTGGAGATCTTGGCATCCCGCTTAACCCTGAGGAAAGGTTTGAAAGAAACTTACATACCAAAAATGAATATTACATATCTACTGAACATACAGCAGCCCGTAATACAGGAGCCCTAAAAGATATCTGTGTGGCTCAGGTTCAATTAGTGTGGGAATACCGATTTGAAAACGTTGGGCTTGATTAGAGCCCGTATGCAACACAGAAGATGAATTTTGATAGTATTGGTTTGCCCTAATCAATCTTTTTTAATATTTCATTTTTATTAAACACTGCTACAGCTATTAAGTTACGTATTTTTTAATTTTTTTTTTTCTAAGAATTAAGTGTAATATGTAAAACAATAACTTTTAATAGATTCGTACAATGAACTGTATTAGTAGCAGTGTTTAAAGAGAACAGTGGGTATTCTAGTTCATATATCTTATATAGATACATTTTTGCACACATAGAATAACTCTGAGGTGACCTATCGTAATCTTTTTCTAATAATCAGTTAAAAATTATGCAGTATTAGCAATCAGATATTTCAGTATTCAATGTTTATTAATCTATCGTTTTATGTATGGGTCATCTTGAGTGAAATTCTGTCCCTCTATTCAGGCTGCCGTGATTTGCACGGCATATTTTAAAATTATTATAATAATCTTGATGCTAATAGGAAGATTGTAATCGACTTGCCAATATTTATTGCTAATTACAACCTTAATGAGCAGATTTCAGGAAAATATCGGTTTATTCTCATTCTGAAATTCGTAATAATTGTAACAAAGAATTTAACGTTACTTTCAGGTACAGGTCTTAAATAATAAATGCATATACTTTTTCTAATAAATTAATTTATTCCAATAGGTTTAACTTTTCCGATTTTAGCTGGAACCATTATTTTTATGTCATTGTGTTTCCGTTAATACCATAGTAAGACATATCAATTGCATTAATAACTAATCTAAAAAATTATTTCTAATAATCACAGGATCTGTCTTAGCAGCTGACATCATACCGATATCTGCCGTGCACAAACGCGCAGTCTTCCAGTGGTTGCCTACTATAGAATACTAAATATATAGCTATGCTATATTCGGCAGCGACAATTTTTCTATTCTTTATTTTGATACCTTGATACTGTTGGAAAATTCTATAATATACAGTTCTTTTGTAGTTTCTGAAAGTACAACCGATTACATAAGCAAACTGATACAATCATGCAATGACTTCCTTATAGTACATATCTACAGTTGGATATATCTTACTATTATAATACCTATTGAGATCATATATTACTGTTATTGAAGCAAAATTATTAAATGTTGTAAATTTTTCTTGTATATTGTTCTAATACTGCAGCCAAAATTTTCAATACAAAATATTCTTTTTGATAGATGAATTTGAAGTATAAATTTTATAATTTATTAAGGAATTAAATTTATCGGATAGTGTTATGTTTAAAAAAAAAATTCATACTAAAAGAAAAATTATATAACAGTAGCTTATTTATCAATTTTTTAAATCAAGATCTATATGCACAAGTCTCTGTTTTAAATCAACGGTTCTTCCCCACTTATATATTCATACAGTCATAGTAGGGTCAGGTTGCTTGTACGCTAGTACCATCTTGATAAAAATTTATATCTTGATATGGTATTACTCTTTTTATTTTTCAGATCCCCATCTCCAGAGCCTATTTACAGTAGCGATGGTAAACGGTTGAACACGAGAGAATATCGTACAAGACGTAAATTAGAAGAAGAACGTCATAATCTGATTCAGAAGATCCTTAAAATCAATCCAGAATTTAAGCCACCACCAGATTATAAGTGAGTCATATGGATGGATATATGTTATTTACTTCAATGTAAATAACATATTTATTTGTTTATTTCGTAATATTCATATTAATTTTTCTTTTTTTAGGCCACCAATAATACGAGTTCATGATAAAGTAATGATTCCTCAGGAAGAACATCCTGATATAAATTTCGTTGGTTTGCTTATTGGACCGCGTGGAAATACTTTAAAATGTAAGCTTTACAAGATGCATTTTGCAAAAAGATTTCGATAAACTTACAAAATTTATATAATTAATTACATAATTAATAATCTCAATTTCTATTTATTGTTTTAAAATCGTTCAGCTATGGAAAAGGAAACTGGTGCAAAGATTATAATCCGTGGAAAGGGCTCTGTGAAAGAAGGAAAAGTTGGTCGAAAAGATGGACAGCCTTTGCCAGGCGAAGATGAACCATTGCATGCATATATTACCGCAAACAATTTAGATGCTGTGAAGAAAGCTGTAGAACGAGTATGTATTATCGTTTTAATTTTTATGTAATCTTCTGTTTCTTATAATTAGAAACTAGGGATGCATCGGATATCTGGAAAGGATTGTCGGATATCTGATTTCTGGCAACATATCCGGCCGAAACTGTATATTGAAACGACATGTATAATGGTAACGAATATTTGAAAAACTTTTATCACTTATATATAATATTTTTTAGAAATATACTGAATATCTGGCAAATATCCGATATCCGGCCCCGGATAGCGGATATAAACTATACGAGCATGAAAGATACAGAAAGTTTCTGTATCGAATAATAAAAAGAATATTGTTGAATAGGATAGTATTAAAATATGATAGTAAAATAGATAAAATAACTAATGTAATTAAATGTTATATATATAGATTCACGAGATTATTCGGCAAGGTGTAGAAGTACCGGAGGGTCAAAATGACTTGCGACGTAATCAACTACGCGAATTAGCTTTGTTAAATGGAACATTACGCGAGAACGACGGACCACGTTGTACTAATTGTGGGGCTTCAGATCATAAATCTTGGCTGGTTTGTGAAAATCATGCAATATTTTATTGAAAGAATCTTTTTTATTTTTTTAACTAATATAATTATCGATGAAATTTTAGTGTCCCGATAAACCAAATGTGACAAACAATATAGTGTGTTCAAGTTGTGGTGGTGCCGGACATATTGCTCGAGATTGCAGGTCAAAGAGACCTGGTCAGGGAGGTCCAGCAGCCGCTGGAATGGGAGGAATGGGTCAAGCTGGAGATAAGGCCAAAATAGATGAGGAGTACATGTCGCTTATGGCGGAATTGGGAGAAGGCCCGCCACCGGATAGATCAAAGACGGGACAAAATAGACAGACTCCCAATCCAAATTATCCTGGACTTTTTGACAGGTACAATTTTTTCCTTTCTTAATTATCTTCCATTATTACAACACTCTTTTTCACTAAACTAAATTGAATATAATGATCGTTTGTCTTTTTCAGACAACAGCCACCTCGTGCGTTAATGGCAGCTCCGGCTCATCCTCCGCCGCAGATGATGCAGAGCGGCCCAATGATGCCTCCACCAGGCATGGCACCTCCACCGTGGAGCCAAGGAAGCGAAGGAATGAACAACATGAACATGCAATGGCAACCGCCAGTGAGCATGCCACCACCGCCAGGCGTGATGCAGCCGCCACCACCGCCGCCCGGCTCCACTACGCAGCCCAACATTCCGCCGTTAATGCCGTGGATGACAGGTAATAATCAACCACCGCCACCGGGCCAAATGCCACCTACACAGATTCCTCCACCCGGGATGGGCATACCGCCGTGGCAGCAGGGTCAACAGGGACCGATGCGGCCGCCACCGCCTGGCACGGCGCCGCCTCCAGGATTCCCCGGTGGCTGGCAACCACAACAGATGGGTGGCTGGCCACCAGCTGCGCCTGTCCCACCTCCGCCTCAACAACAGACTCCTGCGCCGCCTGGAATTGACCTGAATACGCTGCCGACATTACTAGCGCAACCACCTCCGCCGCCTCCGCCCACCAGTTAGTCCTAATCATGTAATGAATGACTTCCGATCTATATAATAACAAGACGATATCATTGAGATAGAAAAGAAGTTTGAAGAAGAAAACGAAAAAATGGAAGAAGGGAGAAGCTAGGCAGGCCTATCTCCCATTTTAAAAAAATGGTCACGATTTTCAGCGCTTCTATTTTTGGTCTTACTTGAAGATAAATTAAAAAGGATCATGTGATGTGGGGCGGGCTACTCAAATGCATATAAATGCGACTCTCTCTTTCTCTCTCTCTCTCTCTCGCTCGCTCGCTCGCTCACTTAATTATTCATTCTTTCTATCACAGATAATTTATATTCGTTTACCAAAGTTTTCCTTTTACATTAGCTTTGTATGTTTCGTGCGTTTTCTTTATTTGATTAATATTTGTATAATATAAATAAACATTACTATGGTCATTCACATTACGCATTAAGAAATTTTGTTTATTACACCACCATATTAATATTTTAACAACAATTACGCGAATCATCGTCATAAACATGTTGGCATGCTTTACACTCATTGCAATCCATGTTTATTGTCCAATTCTCAAAGCGTATGGTAATACTTTGAAAATATTACGTTGATCGTGCTTCGCATCTGTAATAATTTCAATATTCTACGTATAACTTGCTTTCTTATAAATTAAACAGCTGTTATTTCTAAGGCTATTCTCGCATTCTTCACAATTGTTAAACCGTTTTTTAATGGCGCTAACAATATCGCCATGATTTAATAAAAATGAATCGTTGTGAGTATCTACTTGTTCCATTTTAACCGATTCGTTGTCATCATTGTTTTCACTAGTTCAGGGTTAGATTCAGTTTCTAAAGAAAAATATTTTTCATCGACTTCACAGTTACCATCCTAATAGACCATGTTGTTCACTAATAAAGTTATAGACGAGTCTTCAAATTGCCAAGGTGTTAGCTTCGTTTTTCTAATGGCACGGTTCCTCACTTGACCGAAAAAGTTCTCTATTGAGTCCTGATTACAATAACGCGCTTTCAGACTCATAGAATCATACTTACATTTCAATGTCTATAGTTTTTCGAAACCTTTCATGATTAAGAGCCAATTTTTTAATGTAGGATTAGTTGTTTTAACAATTTTTCATATAGCCTTGTCTATATCTATATAACATATTTTTTAGTATGTTTTTTGCGTTCACCAAAATGCATGGTGTGCGCTAATCACAGTACCGTTTACTGAATCGAACAGATTATTACAAAATTAATAGTTTCCGATGTTGCAATATCATTTTTATCTATTCGAATCATGCTATTGTCCTCCATTGTTGTGCTATATCTGTTTTAAATAAAATAATTTTATTCTCAATATTTTCATTAAAAATGATATACATGTGTATACTTCTTTATTACAATTATGATATTACATTTTAATCTTGCGAAAGTTTCAATATAGCTCGCTATCGTTTCTTAAGGCTTGTGTTGTAAACTTGCTAGATCTTTTGTCAATAAACTATTCCATCACCTTATTAGATGTGGAGGATTAAATAAATGAGCAATTTCGTAATTTCCGATCATGTAAGTTAGAGCTGCAAATTAAATATTCATTTCGTAAGATGTTTGTGTGTTGTGTACTACATTTATAAATGGATATTACTTATCTTGTATTTTTTCTTCTAAATGGCATTCCATTTCTGTCTGTAGTAGTAACTGCTTCATTGCAGAGATATTTGGAAATTCCAGATAGTCACTACGATATGGAAGCCTGCTTCGTATATTGCATGCACGTGTTCTTTAATGCAGCACACTAATTGTATACGTTTGTCACTTTAACGCAAAAGTTATACGAGATAAGCATCTTCTAGTATGTGTTCAATCCATACAGCATAAAAACCAATACGTGATCTGCAGGTTTATTAATACGCTTATTGTCTCAATCTTCAAAACTATATATGGTATCCTTTCTATCATATGTGACATTTGATTGAATTGAAATCTGATCCCACATTAGTATGTATACTTTGGCTGCGTTCCATTTAACGCTCACAACGCTTGAGGAATCATTTCATTCTTGTTTATCAAATGTTAAATAAGGATAAATGCTCGTGCATATTGCAAGCGTTAAGAGCTTGGAACGCAGCCTTTGTTTAATATGTTTCGAGACATGTTCTTCAAATGTTGCAAAATCAAAGAATTCAAATCCGGGGTAGCATCAATTTTAAAGTTTGGAAGCATCGATTGTAAAGTTCGTATGCATAGAATATCAGAAAAAACTTCTCGTAAATACGTGTGTGTTCGCTTCCCTATCGTTTTATACAGCGTCAGAGCTAAAGCCTTCTGTTTTGTCTCATACTGATGTCCCTATTACATTTTGAAAGATAAAATTAGAATGAGAACATAATTAAAATGAGCACTTTAATTATGGACATACATACACAATAAAGCATGTTATTTCTTTTAGGCATGTACTAAAGAGATGCATAAAAGAGATTTTTAGAACCACAGTACAATAATTATTAAACAAATTCTGCCTACATAGATATCATAAGCAAGTCGCTAAGAAATAACATCGTAGTGACATGTTTGTCAGACACGATTCTATCAGGGAATGTTATTTAGATACAGTATCACATTAACTATACTAATAAGAAACAAGATATACACTATAAAGTATATTGTTTAAAAAATATTTATATTTTCATGCATATAATCCAGAAATATATGAGTGCATCGTAACTTAAACATATTGATAATATATTCAAGCAATAAGACATATAAATGTAATACATGCAATCTATCCTGCTCGATTTGCAGATTAACATTTCAATCTTGATATGAATTCAGTCCAACTTTTCGTGAATATTTTAGTATACTTTTTCAATAAGCTTCAGCGCCTTGAAGATATAAGGTTAGTACACTACTACTAATGATATGAATTAGTACATATAGATTAATAAATATGCAATAAAAAATAAATTATAGTCACCGCGCAATAAAGGAGCAATAGTACGCAAATTAACAAATCATGTCGATTTTTAATTAATAAATAAAATATAAGTTGAACATTTCGGCTCTAGACTTGAGCCATCTTCAATATAATTTACAGTCAAAAATTTAAAAAATTACAAAGGATCAAAATATAGTTGCATTTATGTTATCAATCAGATTTACAATTACTAATCATATATATGTATACGTGTGTATTTATCCTTTCAAAAGGTTTATTCAGATCGTTCAGTAACACTTAGATGCTTACTATCCCACTTGCTAAAGCTGGCAACATTCAATTCACGTCACATGATCGATTTTAATTTTGATTCTAATGAGATCAAGAATAGAAGCGCCACGTTACATTCGTGAACACGTCTAAGATGGGAGATAGGCTCCCCTGAAAGCCTATCTCTACCTCTTCTACCTAGAAGTTGAAAGAGGCATTATGTCTTAGGAAGTCACAAAAAAAGATGAAGAAAGAATAGATGAGAAACTAGGAATGATATATAAAATAGATGTACAAAAAAGTTCTGAGCTTTTTTTTGTAAAATTCAATCTTTATTCAAAAACAAACGAAAAAATATTAATCAGCGAAATATTCTCCGTTTGCATCAACGACCTTTTGCCATATTTCGGGGAGCTTGCGAATTCCTTGACGATAGAAACTCACCGGCTTCGAAGCGATAAAGTCATCAATGCATTTTCGTATCTCTTCTAATCTCACGAAATGTGTATCAGCCAAATGATGCTGCAGCGACCGGAATAGGTAGTAATCGGAAGGCGCCATGTCTGGGCTATACGCCGCGTGCGGAAGAAATTCCCAGCCTAACGCAAAGATATGGTCCTGAGTCGCTTTCGCAACATGAGGTCGAGTATTGTCATGAAGCAAGATCACTTTACGATGTCCTTGGCCAGTAAATGGCCTCTTTTCTTCTAATGCATCGCTCAAATTGGTCAATTGTTGTTGGTAGCGGTCTGCCGTGACTGTTTCACCCGGTTGTAACAACTCGTAGTACAACACACCCTTCCAATCCCACCAGATACAGAGCAAAACCTTCTTGGCGTGGATATTGGGCTTTGGCGTCGATGTCGAAGGTTGACC